GGTTGGTGCCTTTGCAGCCATAGGTTCTATGCAGAATTTCATTAACCGTGCTTGTGTGGATAGGCTGCGCTTAGGGGAGCGAGTGCAGCGGCTTAGCAGATCTGTAGCATCTACCATGGCCAACAAGAACTCTATGATAGTAGAGGACTATGTCAAGGACGTAGTGTGTACCTTTTCCTATGGAGGAGGGGAGTTGAGCTGCCATTTGACGTGCTGCTAGGGATGTACCACCTCGAGGTTGCTAAGCCTCAGTTCGATTGGGATAGGAAGGTGACGATCCACAAGTTGTCAGATGGAAGGACCATTAGGCTGCAAAAGTTTAAGGGTAACAGACTAGTGGAGAACTATGGTTGCATGTGTGCATTGTCCCTACATATATATAACTATCGCTAATTTTCGACCTGTGACAACCAGACGATGGGGCCCCTGCGATTTTACACACCGCAACGGTCCCGATCGTCTGCTGATCGTTTGTTCTTAGAAGTTGAACCGTCGCGGGCGGCTCCTCGCCAAGGCCTTATTGGGCCCACACGCCAACGCCAGTACCAATACCGCATGCAGTACCGAGGTTGCGTGTGACGTGCTACCAGTCCAACGCCGTTACAATGTATAGAAACTACTTTCTGGGGCACGCGCACTGCCGACTTGAGGGCAGGTGTACTGGACGGCGAGTTAGAGTCGACGCCTGTTCGACACTCTAAGCTACTCTAGAAAGTCGACGCCTGTTTTCGACACTCAAGCTACTCGACTGACTTCTACACTGCTATGCACGACTACGACTTCGCTCTACGTTGGACACACGCCCACTCGCACACGCACACACGCACGGGCGCACATGCACACACACACACACAAACGTGGCGAGTCCTTGCCATCAGTACAATTTGTCTTGGGTGGACTGTTGGGGGTTCAACCTCCCGATGAGTCGGTGGAAGTCTGACGAAACAGTCTGGCTGAGTCATTTTGTGAGTTTTGTATAACGAACATAACAACACTCACACATACTCAGACTCACCCACAAAGAACACCCACCCACCCACACACACACACACACACACACACACTCTCACCCAGGACACACCATCTCTACATCCTGAATGTTGGACGCTGAGGCTCGAGCTGTGCAACGTCAAGGCTTTCGAACGACTGCACCGTGATGACTGACGGTGAGTTTGTTATTTGTGTCTGTTGCTTTGTTTTTTGTGGTCCTGGAACTAGTGAGAGAGAGTGCGTACTATGAGTGAGAGAGAGTGTGTATGTATCCGTACATGTGTGTGTGTGTGTGTATGTGTGTGTGAGAGAGAGAGTGAGAGAGAAAGCAAGAGAAAGCAAGCGAGAGAGAGAGAGAGATCGGTTTCAAACCTCCGATCGGTTTCATACCTGATGCCCTCAGAGAAGGTTGCTACCTCGACGTACGAGAGGGAACTCTACGATCTCAGGCTGGCCTTACAGCACTGGAAGCACTACCTGCTTGGGAGGCACTTCAAGGTGTATTCAGACCATGAGACTTAGATGGCTGAAGACACAGGCCAAGATGACACCTAAGTTGACTAGGTGGGCCGCTGAGATAGACCAGTATAACTTCGAGCTCAAGCCTGTTAAGGGCAAGTACAATGTAGTTGCGGATGCTCTAAATAGGAGATCAGACTACTTTGGAGCTATAGTTCACTATCTGGACATAGGGAGAGACCTGCAAGAGAAAGTTAGACAAGCGTATGCGGAGGACCCTATTTATAGTGACCTCCTCAAGAGAGTCAAGGAGGCCCCAGAGACCGAGCCAGATTACCGCACTACAGAGGGGTTGCTATTTGAGAGGACCAATGTAGTAGACCGCTGTGCGTCCCTAACAGCGAGAAGATCCGTAGTTTGATCCTCGGGGAATGCCACGACACAGAGGGACACTTTGGTTGGCAGAAAACTCTAGCCAACCTGATGCATGCGTATACCTGGCCAGGAATGAAGAACGACTGCATAGAGTATGTCCGCAGTTGTAAAGTCTGCCAGAGAAACAAGACTACTACGCGTGCTCCTCTCGGTCTTCTCAGACCCTTGCCTATTCCTGATCAGCCAGGCGATTCAGTGTCCGTCGACTTTATGGACGCCGACGTCAAGAGTAGGCACGGCTAGAGCCAGGTCGTGGTCATAGTTGATAGATTTAGCAAATATGTTGTTTTTGTTCCTTTGCCTGCAGAGGCCCGTACAGAGTTAGTAATTCAGAAGTTTTTTGACTTTTGGGTTAGTGAGCATGCAGTCCCGTTGTCTATAGTTAGCGATAGAGATAGTCGCTTCACTAGCCAGAACTGGCAGGAACTGATGAAAGTCTATGGGTCCAAGCTGCTGATATCGTCTGGCCGTCATTCAGAGACTAGCGGTCAGACTGAGCAGATGAACAAGATCCTGCAGCAAGTTCTGCGTATGTACATTAGACCCGACCCGATCAACTGGGACGAAATGTTACCCAAGGTAGCCAGTGCGTACAATAACAGCGTGCACTTGTCCACCTGTCGCACTCCCAATGAGTTGCACAAGTACTTTAGAACACACAGACCATTTCAAGGGCTTCACCGGGATCAATTCATAGGCTACCACCCGGTACTAGGGAGTTCGCGATACAGCACGAGAGAGAGAGCCACTGTTGTTGAGAACTCAGGAAGGCCCAGCACCGGATGATAGAACAGGCTATTAAGCATCGTCGCCCGTCACAGTTCCGAGTAGGCGACTTAGTCTGGGTCAAGTCCAAAGAGTTTGCTCCTGAGGAAAACATCTCGCAGAAGTTACTGCCCGCATATAGACCGTGGCCAGTTCTAGAAGTTAAGGGCGGAGAGGTTGGGCCGTCCTACACAATAGAGATCCCAGCACACCTCCACACCTACCCAGTGTTTCATGCTTCAAAGTTGCTGCCGTGTGTCACAAGCCAGCAGTTTCCATCTAGGAGATCCATGATCCCTCCAGACATGGACGGGAGATACGACATTGACGGCATTGTAGGTGAAGATGTATTCAGAACAGGAGGTAGAGGCCGTCCACAGAAGCAGTATAAGGTCCAGTTTGCTTATCAGGAACCGGAGGACGACCGCTGGTTCACTAGAGCAGAACTTCTAGAGACAGCTCCTGACATAGTTAGAGCCTACGAGAGAGAGAAGAAAGGCAAAGGTCCTGCCTTGGACTGAGTTATTTTCGGAGGACCTCGAATTAAGGCCGGCAGGAGTGAAACGGTATTCACCAGTTCGTAGTAGCCGATACAGATCCCAGGGCTCGATCCCTAGTCCCCACCTTACCTGTGTACAGTATCTGTGTCGACCCCCAGAGTTGAACCCGTGCCCTGTGTATTTGTAACAGTTGGTAGGCTGTCGTAGGGTCCATAAGTAGCAGGGGTTCGATCTGTAGACCGGTCGAGTAGGAGTCTTAGTCAGGTCCAGAAGTTGTAGCTGAAGCTTTCCCGAAAGGTCAAGGTCGTAGCTGCTACAGTATCGAAAGGCCAAGTCTACGGCCTTCCGGAAGGTCCGAGTAGTGGCCTTTTGAAGTTGCCCATGTTTAGACTGAGGCAAGTGGGCAAGTGGTGGAGTCTACCTGTGCTGAGTCAGCAGTCCCAGTCCCAGTCAGTCCTTGTCCAGTCAAGCAAGTACCGCATGGGACTGTGTGCACTACGGGCATGGGAAACGGCCAGGCCAACGAGCCACAGAAGTATAAATCAAGAGGCAGCGCCCAGCCATTCATTCRTTCCTGCGTGAGCCATGCGGAAGCGCTGCCACAGCTACTTGTGCTAGGTGGTCTGCAGTGAGCCCGAAGACAAAGTGGGCGAGAGAGGAGCAGCGTAGCCATAGCGATAGGGTAGCAGCGGCCATAGCCGCCATAGCTGTAGATAGAGTTCAGCGTGTGTGCGTGTGTGTGTACAGAGTATCGTGTGTGGGATATCCAGGGTGATCCTGTGTGTGCGAACAGAGAGTTGTGTGGGCGCTGTCACGCCATAGGCATCTGAAGTGAATTTGTATCTGAGCTGCATTTTGGTTGCCATATCTCCGAGTTTTGAAGTGCGCGCTTGTCGCCAGTTTGCTGCGCACCTGTTTGCATGCATGAGAAGTGTGAATGAGAGCGAGTCTGATTGCAGACGGGTCCACTTGTCTGGTTAGAAAGGACAGCGGTCTTGAGATAGTCTTTGAAGTTTCGACTGACAGCCCCAGGTAAATCCAGAGTTATTTTCACTCATCTGATTCAACTAGAATTCCAACTCACATCTGGTTTTCAGCGATTGATGGGCATACCAACGGAGCTAGGCCAGTTTGTGCCTGTAATGTTATTTCCAAAAAGATCAGCACTCAATCTATGTTCCTGAGTTTTTTTAGATTTTTTCATCGATCATTCAAGGCACAAAAGATTGCCAAACTTGGTGCACACTCCTGTATGAGGCCTGTGAGGAAATGAAATGGCATGTGGGCCTTAGGCCTCAGCCCTTTACACATCAATTTTGAAAGGGGACTCACTGTCTGGATTTCCCATCATCCACTTTGATCGGCCCTCCATCCAACAAAAGCTCTGTGCCCCCCTCCAAACTCCTCCACGAAGATTTGCACGCTTAACACAACCACTTCAGCCCTACCTACGCCGGGTGCGACCGATGCCAGAGAAAGGAGCTTTGCGCCTATAAACGAAGCCTACAGGCTGTGAACTGAGAACCCCTTATGCAATCAAGAACCTGGGAATCCTTTCTGGCATTGTCGGCCAAAGCAGAGGCACAGCAAAACGGAGTTATGTACGATATGCCAAGCTTTGACACAGGAGCTACCCATATCCGATAGAGTCCCTGCAAGACTGCTGCCTATTCTTACAGCTACATGGCACAACTGCAGAATGGTAAGCACAACCACAGGAAGCAGGTTTACAAAGCATTAGCCTTCCCCACCACTAGATTGGAGCAACCAGAAAGGCTGTTAGGTGGGGCTGCTCATATCACCTCGAAAAAGCTGGACCGGTTTATCGGGGGGGGGGGGAAAAAGCCTTACCTGCGCAGATTTCGCGTCACTGGGAAACCCAAACTTGAGCATTCTTCCCAGAGATCTCAGGCAAAGAAGCCATCTCTCACATGTCAGAGAGAACACCCTTTCTTCTTCAGCTGATATCAGTGCGGAGCCACCGACAGGCTGTTGAGACAACAACTGGCTGAATTGTTGAAGAACTGTCTGAGTGTCACTGCACCAGTGGTGCCAGGTGTACTCAAAAATCTGAGAAGTTATCTGTCCACAAACATCACAAAATACACAACAGCACATCCTCAGCAGCAAGAGAAACACGACCAAACATACGCAATCACCGCATGGTTTCTCCTTTACACCATCGCCACAAAAATGCCTGAGGTCAAACCCAACACAAACTGGAAGCGTCACACACGTAGGGATAGAGGGTTTGAAATGGTGTGGGACTATACAAGGCTTGACAGTCACTGAGAAACTCTTGCCCTGTCAGTGAGTCTGCGACAGGCCAGGCCTGGTACCAAACCTATGAAACAGATCTCAAACCTCAGCATGCTGGCCTCAGACTGTATATCCCACCTCATCTTCACGCATACCCATCCACAAACTCTGCACGTTACGCACCAAATTTCCTAGGGAGTACCAGGCTTATTGGAAGGCTTTTCAACTTGCAGACCGCAAATTCGAGTTTCAGGAAGAAGGTCCCCAAGTCAAAAAGAGGCCGAACAGGCCAAAACGAAAGAAGGTCGGGTCAGTTACCCCACAGGCCACACAGGTCAAAATTCAACCAGTACCCGGCCTCAATGTCAAGTCCCACAGTCCAAATGCAGCAGCGATCCAAGAAACGTCTGTAAGGTACCGGGCCTCAAAAATTCCGAGGGCAAACAGGCCCCGGGCAACCATTACCAGTCAGGCAGAGTCAAGCAGAGACCAAGTGAAGCGAAGGCCCAATGCAGTCAACATAAAAGATTGGCCCAGCACTATTCAGACAGATTGTTTACTCGTGGGAAGGTGGAAGCGTGGTTGCCTGCTTGTGCGCTATTACGAGTTGACTGAGTGCCTCAGAGCCCTTCTGGGCTGCGCTAAGCTGTCGAAGACAGGCGGCCATAGCTGCGGTAGTAGTGCAGAACACCTAGGAAGGCGGATGTATCCAGGGATAGTAGAAGAGGTTGAGAGTTCCAGAGAGTTCCAGAGAGTCCGAGAGATCCACACACAGAGAGAGAGAGAGAGAGAGAGAGAGAGAGAGAGAGAGAGAGAGAGAGAGAGAGAGAGAGAGAGTCGCATGCCTAATGGGCATCGATCAGAAGATTCAGAACCAAGAACTGACCTCTCAGACAATGCAAAAATAGCACACAGCAGAAGACCGAAACACCAAGATCTGACTCAGCATGCACAATGATAAGGTCTGACTGCAACCATCATCACGGGTGCGAGTGGACTCAGCGCAGCAGACAAAGAGGGTGCGCTGGGTCCGAAGAAGACACGGACAAATATGGGGGAGAAGAGACGAAGGGAGGGGGAGGAGATGGGGACGATCAGCGACCATAGCCCGATGAATCCAGTATCCCCACTGCCCATACAATGTCAAGTCGCAATGTCACTCGATCGGGTGATGCCCGAAAGTCACCAAGTCTCAATGTCAACTCTCTCTCTCTCTCTCTCTCTCTCTCTCTCTCACACACACACACACACACACACACACACACACACACACACACACACACACACACACAGAGGGAGAGACGGGGAGCGTGGGGGTAATTCTTCTTCTCCTTGTTCTTCCTCTGGCTGTTCTCTATCGCTCCTCCACTTTCCTCCGCCTCTTCTTCTTCTTCCTTTCGGCTGGTGTGTGTGCATGCGTGTGTGTGTGTGTGTGTGTGTGTGTGTGTGTGTGTGTGTGTGTGTGTGTGTGTGTGTGTGTGTGTGTGTGTGTGTTTAGAGTACTCCATGAGAAACATGTCGAGGCAAGTACGGAAACCATAATGCCATGAAGCTCCGAAATAATTCATCGGCACACCCCCATAAACCTTGTCAGGCGAGCACAGGACTTTACAAGCCAACAACCCGTTTCATGGGATCTTATAGATGAAGCATGGTCAGAACCGTACACCCGCATTCATGCAGTCCAGTGGCCAAGAGATACGTTTCCCGAAGACAAGCATACAGCAAGGTGAGGGGGGAGATGTACAAGTCAATCCTGTAATGGCTAGGTCATGAGTGCACATTCGTTCGTGCGGACGATCGAGTGTGTATGGAATAGTGCACTTAGGTATATGTAACTCTTAAGAAATATGCAATCAGACTCGACTTATTCACACTTTTCATGCACATGAACAGCAGCACACAACTGGCGACATGCGCCCACACAGTACACAGAGATATGTCTTCCAGGTAAGTTCGCTTCCACTGGCTATGGCGACTGAGCGCCCTTACAACTCATTGTTCACACTCTGCATCACCCTGGATGTTCCACACGCAACACTCTGTAACCACACGCAACACACACACACACTACTGCAGCTATGGCAGCGCTAGCTGCCACTACCCTAGCGCTATACTACACTCCTCTGCCCACTTCGTCTTCGGGCACACTGCAGACCTCCTCGCACAAGCTGCTGAGGCAGTGCTTCCGCATGGCATCCGCAGGAATGAATGAATGGCTGGACGCAGCCTCTTGATTTATACTTCTGTGCTGCGTTGGTCTGCCCTGTGTCCCTTCGCCCTTGGTGCACACAGTCCCAGACGGTACTTGCTGGACAGGACCGGACTGCTTAACTGGGACTGTTAACTCAGGGGCCTACCACCACTTGACCACTTGCGTCTGTTCAACACAGGCTCATTCCGAAAGGCCACTTCTAGAACCCTCTGACTTGGCCTTTCGGTACTGTAGCAGCTACGACTTTGCCCCTTCAGGTAAGTAGCAGCTACGACCTTGACCCTTCAGGCATCCTACATCTACGACTTCGGAACTGTCTAGACTCCTACTCTACAGGTCTACAATTCGATTCCCTTCTACCCTGTGACCTACGACATCGAGCCTTGGGATCTGCATTCGCTACTGCGAACTGGTGAATACCGTTTCACTCCCGTCGGCCTAAATTCGAGGTCCTCCGAGAAAATTTCAGTCCAATGCAGGACCTTTACCCCTTTGCTGTCTCTCGTAGGCCCGGACTATATCGAGAGCTGTTTCTAGAAGTTCAGATCTTGTAAACCAGCGGTCGTCTTCCGGTTCCTGATAACTAAACGAACCTTGTACTGTTTTTGTGGACGACCCCTACCTCCAGTTCTGAATACATCTTCAGCCACTATGCCATCGATGTCATACCTTCCGTCCATATCGGGCGGTATCATAGATCTACACGATGGAAACTGATCACTTGTTTGACAAGGTAACAACTTCGACGCATGAAAAACTGGGTAAGTATGGAGGTGCGCTGGGATTTCTCTAGTATAGGACGGTCCATCTTCGCCGCCCTTGACTTCCAGAACAGGCCATGGTCCTCTATATGTGGGCAGTAACTTCTGCGAGATGTTCTCTTCAGGCGCAAACTCTCTAGAACTGACCCAGACTAAGTCGCGTACTAGAAACTGTGAAGGGCGACGATGTTTGTTCCCCTACTCTATCATCCTGTGCTGGGCTTTCCTGAGGTTCTCTACGACAGTAGCTAGTTCTTTCTCGTGCTGTACAGCGAACTCCCTGGTCCCGGGTGGTAATCTGTGAATCTGATCCCGGTTGAGTCCTTCAAATGGTCTGCGCGGTCTAAAGGACTTGTGCAGTTCGTTGGGAGTGTTGCAGGTGGACAAATGCACGCTGTTATTATACGCACTAGCTACTTTAGGCAACATATCGTCCCAGTTAATCCGATCTGGCCTAATATACATGCGCAGAACTTGTTGTAGGATCTTGTTCATTTGCTCTGTCTGACCGTTAGTCTCTGGATGATGGTCGGACGACATCAACAACTTAGATCTCTTGTCGAGCACATCGGCCCTCGCGTGAACGAGGGCCCTCCCGGCTATGTCCCGTAGGAGTTAGAAAAACATAATCGAGAGACAACTTAGGACGACACATAAATAATCCCGCGAACCATCGAGACGGACGCGATTGCATTGTCCCTTCGCCGCTCTAGCCGGGTGCGCCAGCTGTACATCCCACGGTCCCCTACGACAGGATAGGTTCTCGCGGGGCACATCTTACCTTCCCTAAGGGGCTGTCACCACCCTTAGGGGCGTATCCCCGCCAACCTACCGACCCACGTGCGAAAGCTTTTACATGCAATTGCAGAGGTAGGTCAGCCGAGGGCGCTTGCTCGCTCGCTGGAGTATAGGTACGCTTGGTTAACGCCAAGTGGACCCAAACGTCGTCCGTTCCCGAGGGCGCTGATCTCCTCGGTACGAACGAGCATCGATCGACTAGGATGGCCTTGACCAACATGAAATCCAATGTATAATCCTAGTACCGTTATAATCTCATACTTATAAACAACATTTCGACTTGACGAGACGACCTGCCAAGGTAATCTGCTTGCATGACCGGAGAGACAATGCTACTGCCGTCCGAAGACGGAAGATCCGTCACGCACGGCTTATACGAGTAAATACCGCTGGTACCATGCAGATCAAAAAGTGATATGGCTCCTGGTCGGTGTTTGAACTCCCGGTTCGACCATATTATCGTACCGCATACATCTTTTCGGGGGAGCGGCTGACAATTCTGTCGGTTGATTCGTCCTCCTAGGCAATAATTCCTCCTCACATGCATCCCCCAACCTACCTGCACAACCAAGAAAAGAAACAATCAAGAGATTCATCCATCCCTAAAACAAGTCAGCCCTTTCTCCACATGCATGACATCACACTCTCACTCTACCCTTTCCCCTGAATTCAAAGGAAGGTCATGCAGGGTGTGGGTTCACGCGGGTGTGCAAAGGAGCTGAGTCGCACTGACCTTGAGTGAATTTTGTGAAGGCTCACTCAAGAAAGCCAAGTATTTTCTCAAGAAAAGCTCTACTGCTCACAAAGATGAGCCGCACCTTCCTTCAGGCACCAACACTGACTTAGGCGCTGCTCACCAACACAAATGTGGGTTCGCCAATGAGGAGAGTGTCCCACTCTTAAATCCCACAGCCTCAATGTCACAACTCTCACTAAGAACAGCGCCAACTCAACCCACCAAGTACCAAGTCAGGTTATCACCTGCCTGCCGCAATACTTGGTGGTCCTGGATCCAGTCCCCGCTCGTTCAGCGTGCCGCAAAAAAAAAAGTTACTGCCTTGACCATTCCCTCAAGTGCCACATGCCGCAACATCCTCAACAAAACGATCACCACACTCTTCCTATCCCAAGGTGCACTTCCACCTCGGCGGTACCGTCAAGGAACCCGGTGCTGCCGCCGCAAGAATCCGGCAGCGCTTCCGTCGTACCGCCAAGAAAACCGGCGCTGCCGTCACACAATTTCGGCAGCGCTTCCGCCGTACCGCCAAGAGAACAGGTGTTGCCGATGCAAGAATTCGGCAGCGCTTCCGCCGCACCGCCACGAGAACCGGCGGTGCCGCCGCACAATTGCGGCAGCGCTTCCGCCGCACCACCCTAGAAAACCAGCAGCAACCTCAACGTTACGGCTTCCCCACAGCCTGCAGCACAGCACAGAAGGTGGGGCAAGAAGCTCCCAACCTTTGGCTATGGCTGCCTCCTCCTTCCTCCAAGTGCTTCTGCAGACCTCCAGCATTTCGCCTCGTCACACCAGCAGCCAGCCAGCCAGCATCTACTCAAGTAGAATGCCCCAACAGCATTGCCACAATTGTGAGGCTGCTGGGTGGCAGGCTAGCTTTTATAGCTGGCTGAAGGCTGAGGGCAGCTGCTTTGCCCCCAGCCAAATCCCGGAATAGAGCCTGGCCCTTGATCAAACTCGTGATCAAGGGCCAAGGAACTTGATGTTCCCCTAGGGGAACCAAGTTCTGACCCTTGACAATGCATCTGGCCTTCACCCGCGGCCAGACGCAGTACACAAATGGCTGTACTCAGCCATTTTCAAGCAGGCTGTTGAACCCAACAGTCTGCAGTCTACTCACAGTCCAGATGCTTCTAAACTTGCATCTGGACCGAGGCCGCGGTTAGATCCGCGGCCGTTCTTTTTTTTTCCAACTTCTCCCCCTTTTTTTTTCTCTGTTTTTTTTTTTTTTTTTCTTACAACAGGGGCAGCTCGTCGTTCAAAAATGAACGAGCACATCCCCCCCCCCCCTTTTCAAGTCATTTCACAGAGTCGGACTAGAGTCAAGCTCAACAGGGTCTTCTTTCCTCCCCCTTTGCCTCGCGTCCGTACCCGGACGCTCTCGGCGCCAGGTTTGGGTGCGCAGGCAAACACTGCAGCCCGTTTTTACAACCCAACGGGCGCAGTGCTGGTCTCTCCCTCTCTCTCTCTCTTTCTCTCTCTCTCTCTCTCACACACACACACACACGCACACACAGTCCTAACCGTTCGCGTGCAGAGGGGCCCTTGCAACTGCAAGTTCAAGGTCCCACGCCCGCGCCCGAACACAGCCGCCCATAGGCGGCAGGTTCATTCGACTTTGCTCATCCAAGGATGAGCAGTCGAAGTTCAGCCTCCTGCCGAGTCGGTGAGGGTCCGACGAAACAGTCTAGCACATCACGGGGCTCGCTGCACTGCCTTTCGACATGCACCAAGGACAAAAATCAGGGCCGTGCATCTTTCCATATTCTAGCAGAAGAATCGCTCTCGTTTTGCAC